GATAAAGTCATCCCTTAGCCACAAGTAGTTACATTCTGTTTCTAAAGAACTTGCAATGAAGAAAGCCATCTTAAATGTTAAAAATAATGATAAAAAATGTTTAGTGTGGTGCTTGCTTGCACATAAATATGTTATTTCAAGAGAAAATATTTTTCAAGTAAATAATTGTACAAACCACACAAAAATGAAATGAAATTAGCAAATATTGAATATGCTGTTCCTCTTACAAAAATATCAGCTTTTAAGAAGTTAAATGACCATACAATAAACATACTTGGATATAAGGAGAATGAAGTCTTTCCCCTTTATATTTCAGAAAGAAAGGAGATTGATTGTATTAATTTACTTTAACTCTGTGATGATACTAAACAACATTATTGCTTAAATGTACAGATTATTAGGTAACCTAACAAAACATCATGCAGGTATGTTCTACTGCAGGAGATACTTGCATAGATGACTCTGTGAAAGCCTCTTAAAACACAAAATATTGACAAAATTAAAATGTAAAGTGGATCATAATGCCCTCATAATGAGCTAAACATATTAGACTATATTAAACTAGCAATATGAAAAGTTTATTCTGTTTACCATTTATACTGATTTTGAAGCAACCATCAAAAACAAAGATACTTGTGAACCAGATGTGACTACTTCATCTTCCACAGAAAAAAATGCATCATCATAAAGCATGTGGGCATGCCTATATCCACTGTATAACATCTGATAGAAAAAGGGTTAAATCTATAACAGTGTACAAGAAGTCCTAATGCAACAGATAATTTTATAGGAAACATTTTACAAGAAGAGGAAACAGCCAAAAAATTCTCCAGCAATGTACCTCTTTATATGACATCCCGAGAAAAGCAAAATTTTAAAAGTGCTATTCAGGTACTTCTTGAGTTAAAATGTTTTCAATAATGACCATGTGAAAGAACGTGATCACCTTATGGGGAAGTATAGAGCAGCTTTACACAATGTTTGTAATTTAAAATATAGGCTTCCTCCCCCCCCAAAAAAAAAATTCTTGTATTCCATAATTTAAAACATTATGATGCACATTTAATTACGCAAAGCATTTTTTGTCATGTAGCCAATAGTATGGAAAAGTGTATTTCTTTTTTAATATCAGATGAAAATGGAATAATATAGGAGTATCTTCAATTTTCATGGACAGTTTGCAAGTTATGAAAGCATCTTTCAAGAAACTCGTATCAAACCTTCCCAAAGAAAAATTTTAAAGTTTAAAAGAAAATATATAAAATATCATCACCATCAAAATATAAAATTATTATTATTAGAAGGGCATATATCCTCACAAATATGTAAACTCATTTGAAAATTTACAGACACCCAATTGCTAGCCACAGATGATTTTCAAAGCATATAACTGATGAAACTATTTCATCAAAAGATTACAGGCATGCTCAAACTGCTTGGAAAATTAGAATACCCTGATTTATAAGTGAAAAGTTATGTTTTACAATCAACAGACATTTTTAAAATTTTAGAAAACTTTGTAAAACTTTTGTATGCAGTTTAGACTGCATGCATTTAATGACTTCACCTGGATTAGCTTCGCAAGCCTGTTTAAAAATGACCAAGCAAGCTTTGGAATTAATAACATACAGTATTAGCATGCACTTATTTATAGAATATGGAATTCGCAGAGTATCCATGATCACTCAACATAAGGGTACAGCAAATAATAACTATCATAAAACTTTTGATTGAGCTAAAGAATGTAAATACACTTTGATGCAAATAATTTATATGGGTGGGCCATGAGTCAACCCTTGCCCTATGGAAATTCTGAATGGGTTGAACCCTGCAAGTGTGTCATTGAAACTGTTTTAACTCTACCTGAAGACAGTTTGAAGGAATACATCTTAGAAGTAGACCTCAAATATCCTAAAGAACTTCACGTTATGTATAGCAACTATCTACTGACTCCCGAAAAAATTAAAATATAAGTTAATCATGCTTTGCTTTTTACAATGGGTGCATTAAAAATAATAAACTTATACTGAATACTAAATTAGTTCCTAATTTAAATTTTAAATTCAATTAAGTTATCTGTTATAAAAATTTATAATTATGTCTCTCATTAGGTTTAAAATTAGTTCCTGTACATAAAGTATTGAAATTGAATCAAGAAGCAAGGTTACAAACCTTATATATACAGTTTAGCATAGCATAAAAATATGGAAACAAATTCTTTTCAAATTAATGAACAATCGTGTGTGGCAAAACTATGGATAACATGAGGTAGTATGTTATGTCCAGATAGTAAATACTGAAAAAACAACTAGTAGCACCTCCAACCTTCCATTATTTCAGAATTTTTCAAAATGGAATACAAAAGCCATTGTGTTAGCTATTGTAAAATTGTATTAATCTAAACAGACTCATACATGTAGGATTTGTTACGTTAGATTTTAGTAAATATCACATGTACAATTTTCATTATAATTATGTCAAAAGACCATATGAAGAGAGAGCCTTTGTATTACAAGGTATTTCTTTACTTTGTAAAGTAATATTTGGAATGTTACAGAAATTAGATTGTTAAAACAATTAGCTGGTTTAAGAGTAATACTCTTACCATTTTTTAAATTTTCCTTTAAGAATGTTTGCTTATTAAGAGTTAACTATTTTGTTATGCAGATGTTGCAATGTTTTTGTTATTTTTTTTAGTTTTAATAATCAACTGCCAGGTTCACACATATAATTATAGATTGCGAGCATTAAGCCTTTTGTTATCAAAATGTGTTAAAATATTCTACCCAAACACAATGGTAGAGATATGGTGTAATCTTAAAAGCAAGTAGCACCTTCTATGTAAAGAGAAAAAGTTAGTTGGAAATTGGCTTTCGGTGGAAGAGGTCAGATGTTCAGTAGAGCAAATTTCATAATCAACAATTTTATTTATGTTAATATAGTTCTTTTTATTGTATAAAGTGTATATAAGTTACTTAGTGTGCTGTAAATAAATGAAAAAAATTAATCTCGTTGTCATTAACTGTGTACAAGACATGACAGCAGCCACAACTGGATCTTACAAATACGATATTACTATATCCTTTTCATAAAATACACTTACTTAGTCCATTGATGCAATTAACTGATATCTTTAATCAGGACTAAGAAGACAAAATGCTATATTTTATCTAATTAAAAATGTTTTTAAAAGCCATATATGCAGAATCTCATAATGTATATCTAATAGTGTATCTAATAATGCACATCAAAAAATTATATTTATAATCATTCTCTTTTACATTATAAAATACATCATTATACACATGATGTATTATGTAATATAAAAAGAATAATAAACACAATACATAAAATTTACCTTAAATTATTTTTAGCATTCTTTTAAAATAAAAGTATTTATTTATGAGAAACAGGCAAATGTTTGCAAATGAACTACAAAATGTTACCTTTGCCCTTGTTTATTTTTTAACTAGAAAATAAAGTCAAAGTTTACAATTGTGTGCCCCTTGTTTTTTGGCGATTCTTTTTTGACACCAAGACCGGCACTGGGAAGACACAATTTCAAGATGGACAAGACACAAAACCAAAAGAAGTCAAAGAATTGCACAAACTCCGTGTCCATGTACACAGCGATCTATTTTCACTTAAAAAGACATCAGAGAATTGCACAAACTAGGCATTGTGCACTGCCTTAACTTTGTCCATGTTCACATCAATCTATTTTCATTTAAAAAAATCAGGAAGCTAAAAGTTAAAACTATCATGGTAACCAGAAATGAGGTTTCATTGCCAAAATTCAACAAAATTTGTCGCTAATCGAAGGGGCACCCAATTCTACACTAGAGCCGAAATTAAAAACAGAAAAATAAATATAATGCCCTAAAATTATTCTTAAGTCTGCAACATCACCAATTAGTTTAAATCTTCTATATATCCCAATCCACCCAAATTTCCGATAACAATCATTTCCTTAAATATCAGTCATTATTTTAAACATTGTAACTGTAAATCAAAAAAAAATTTTTTTTTTTACTTGAAAACCTGAAAACAGCTTAAAAAAATTAACAAACAAAACATGTTTAACCTTTAATTTTATAAGCAGTGAAAACAGTAAACTGTAAAAAATACCAGTTTTGAGTTATTTTCTAATTAGTTAATAATGCTCTATTACTAACAGTGGCGTAGCTAGGGCAGGGCAAAAGGGGACATCTGTCCCCGCGCACAGCAGCCAAGGGGCACCAAATTGATGCTACGAAATTTTTTTAATAAAATGTTTCCTATTCTTGGCACACAGAAAGGGGTGCAAATTCTTCAGTTGTCGTCAGGCACTGGAAACTCTAACTATGCCCCTGATTACTAAGCAGTACAAACATCAGCAAATTAACATTTCGCAGTAACTTATTTTAAATACAAAAATATCAGACTTATTCATGAGTTTTCTATCCCATGATAAACAAAATACCCTAAGTAAATAATATAAATACCATGCTGCTCATAGAATTCCATTTAAGTCACTACAATTTTAACAAAAAGGCTAACCAGAAAATTAGTATTTAATACTCGCTTTTTAAAATCACTAAAATTTACTGATCTTCAATGGAAAATAAACAATTTGCCTTTTAATAAGCTTTTAAGAGGGAGTCTGTCTTACAAGGCAGACAGCATTAAATAGAATACTTTCTTCATACGCATAATTATGAAAATCTTATAAGCATAACTTTGAAATTCACTTAGCAATAAACAACTTGCAATACTGTATTACAGTTTAAAGAGACATAAATAATGTCTCCATTTACATGAAAACTTTTTGTTCCGAATTAATTTATTTTAGAAAGATTTTATAGTATCATTAGTCTACTAACAAGCATTTTCAGCTTTAAATCCATTTTAGTACATATAATTGCCCTTTCCAAGAAAATAGCATACTTCTCTACAAAATTAAACAAAAACAATTAAAGACTAATTCAAAAAACATCCATATGAGTACATTACTTTATTACCTGTGTTCCAAATCTGGTACAGTTGTTTCAATTCCATTGTTTTCACTAAATCTACGGAGAAAACGTCGAAAAACTGGGGGAACTGCACTTTCATCTGCAGTCACCTCATCATCATTTTCATTCTGCATATGATTTTCAGAATTTTTCACTTTATCATCACATTCACTTTGATTAACTTCTTTAGAATTCTCAGCTTTATTATCTAACGTTTCACTTACACATTCAACAAGAGTTGAAACTTTCACATACTGATTTTCACCTAAATCTAACTCATTAAGAGATTTTATGCTGTCTAATCTGTCAACAACCTTTTTAGATGATGCCATTGTAACAGAAGCTTTATCACAAACCACTACTTAAATTTCACAGAAAATGTTCTTAATCATATCCTAAGCTGTATTACATAAAACTACTAAATAAAAACTGAATATCAGTATCATAAGTTAATTCTATGTGTTTCAGAAATATTAACAACATAGGTATTCAAAGAAATGCATTCGTAACATATCCACTAGCACCATTGGGCACTAAAACAACGCCTCTCAAGTACCGTTATAAAAAACTGACACCAATCAATAAGCATCAGAGATATTCTATCTAAAGTAAGATAAGATAAAAAGAAAGTTACAATAAATCCTCCCAGAATGTATGTTGTCAGGACTACAATCATATAACCTTTCAATATGTAAACACATAAAGTTACTATTTGATGTTTTTAGACTTATATAATGGTAATAAAACAGCTGTGAATGACAAAAGGAAAGAAGATGCTTGGGCACATCCTTGTGCGATAATATGTGAATGAACAGAAAAATTTTAGTTTTGTATCCATAAAACAGATTCCAAAACTCAAGCAAGTGGAGATATTGCAATAATTATGCATATTGCAGGTACTGCAATTACCTATATAAATGCAGCAAGTCATACCTCAATGAACATTTGCAAAATATGGCCAAGGCTAACAAACACTGATCAATAATTATGAAAATCAAGGTAACAGCATGATAATATTACAAAAAAAGTTAAGTTTGTTCCAAAAATACGGGAACATAATTACAGTACAAAGTCCATAATCCGGACTCGTTGGGCCTTCGGCGATTCCGGATTAGGGGTTTTCCGGATTATAGATCAATTTAAATCTGGTAAGATGGCATGCAAAAATGACACAATTTAAGAAATGAAATCATAATTTATGAAATAAAGAACAATTATGATCTAAAAGGTATCAAAATTTACAAAAAAAAAAAAAAGCTTAATATTTATTTGCTTACTTTATTAAACATTTCTTTCAATGCAAGTTGTTTAAGATGCTTCCACAAAAAACTCAAAAAGTTCCTTTTTCTTGTGTCATATATAGTGGACTTTCCAATGCCATACTTCTAGCATAATTTTGAGACGGATAGGCATTTATCCATTTTTTGTTTAATGGACATTGAAACATGCTTTCGCTTTATAGATCCTTTGGCAGCTCCAGAATTGGAAACTCTTTTTGACATAATCGAAAGTTCAAGCTTAATTTTTATAAAATTGTTCTAACAGTCTGCAAAAAATAAATAAGCCGGATCCAATTAGAAGATTAAGGAACAGCGCAATCTGCAACATTAACTGAAATGCCTTAGATAATTTTAGCCTCGCTTATACCGTCCATTATACATTAAACGCGCAAGCATAAACGCATAATGCGTTTATGCATGCAATAATGGGTTTATGCATGCACATAAAGTTTGTAGCTTTGAGGCCCGGATTATAGATCATTCCGTATTATGGACGTTTGGATTACAGACTTTGTACTGTATTATGAATTAGATAAACTATCAATGCAAATTTTTATTTAAATTTCACCAAATACAAAGTTTATAGAAAAGTAACTTCCAAACCTTTGCAATTGGACCAAATTCAACATAGCTTTGTAGTAACATTACTCGGGGGGGGGGGGAAGTAAATCTTTACTTTTGCATATACAGAATAAATAAATGGCAAGAAAAGAGATGTTATAAAATTTGCATTACAGTATAAAGACTGTTGTAAGTTTTATAATATAGTATAAAAAACAAATAGACAATCTCAAAACTCTGTACTGTATTTAACTTTACATGTTCTCCCAGTGGCTATTTCGGAAAATTTTATACTAATCATAAAAAAAAAAAACACAGTACGTTTGATTCATGTGTTACAAAATTTGATCAAGACATTTGGTAATTAAAGTTGCAGATCGCATTTAAAGACAAATAAAAGAGCGAAGTGTTTGCATGTGTACGTAATTAAAAGTAAAATGTCAGTCTAAAAAGGTTTCAGATGTTAAGAGATTAAGTAATCAGCACTTCTGTGCAAATTATTGCAAAAAGCATGGATCAATACACTTTTTTTTTCAAAATGGAGATCATTTTCATAAATTCCTACAGAAAAGGTATACAGTCAAAAGTCTCTTATTCGGACTCGTCGGGACTTCGGTGATTCCAGATTATCAGTTTTTCCGGATAATAGATCATCAGTTTAAATCTGGTAAGATAGCATGCAGAAATTATAAAATTAAAAATATGAAACCATAATTTATGAAATAAAGAGCAATTATGATCTAAAGGCTATCAAAATTTACAACAAAAAAAAAAAAAAAAAAAAAAAAACCTTAATATTTATTTGTTTACTTTATTAAACATTTCTTTCAACACGCGCATGCGTAAAGCATACATTACGCATAGTCGAAATTAGAAAATTGCAACCAGAAAACTATTTGATGTGTATTCGTGATATTTATAATGACGAGAAATTTGATTTAAATCATATCAAAGACGGAGTACGTCGAGATGATATACTACATTTAGTAAGGAATTAACTAAATAAACCAAATAAAATTAATAAACCAAATAAAATAAAAACATCTGCCCTGAAGATAAGGATAGTGTTTATAGATCAACTTCCAGTTCATTGCGCGCCGCTACGTCCCCCCCCCCCCGCAGAGCAGCGTGAAATTGATAAACAGATTTCAAAATGGTTAGAGAAACAAAGGATATGCCTTTATCCATTTTTAGCAGCAATTCCACTTTTTGTTTGATGGACATCGAAACATGCTTTCGCTTTGTAGATCCCTTGGCAGCTCCAGAATCAGAAATTCTTTTTGACATAATCGAAAGTTCAAGCTTTTATAAAATTGCTCTTCTAACAGTCTACAAAAAATAATAAGCAGGATCTAATTAGAAGATTAAGGAGCAATGCAATCTGCAACATTAACTGAAATAGGTAATTAGATAATTTTAGCTTAGCTTATACCGTCCGTTATACATTAAATGCGCATGCGTAAACGTATTGATGCGTTTACGCATGCACAGAAAGTTTGTAGCTTTGAGGTCCGGATTATAGATCATTCCAGATTATGGATGCCCGCATTAAAGACTTTTGACTGTATTAGAAAACAAAGGCAAGCTTCTGTATTGGCATGCAGCCAATTCATATTATTTGCATTAATTAAAAATGAAAATATTTGTAATTTAATGATTTTTTATATCCTTACCAGATTATTACTGCACTTTTAAACTGAAAACTTAAAAATTACTTGAGTGAAAATTCTTTCAGCATACCAATTGTAATAAAATTATAAATTATAATCATTAATGAAATTTTACAAAATTTGTTAAATTAAAAATAAAGTGAATCACAAAGCAATATCATTGTATGGCATTTAAAAGGGGGAATCCACATGAAACTACTGAAATTTATTTGCTAACAAACCCCTCAATGCAAAATAAAATATGACATCAAAAATCGCATACTTCAAAATACTTTCATTCATTTTTTGTTGTCGGAGAGTAACATTTTTTTTTGTGTTTTAGCTCTTAAAAGGAGTATAAATTTTTCCTAATGTATTGGGGGCTGAAGAAATATATAAACATTAGATTTCGCAATTTCTACAAAATTGATGTCTTTCAATTTAAAAAAGACAAAACATAAATACAGTCAAAAGTCGTTAATTCGGACACCCATAATTCGGAATGATCTATAATCCGGACCTCAAAGCTACAAACTTTCTGCGCATGCGTAGCGTTGATGCATGTGCGTAAGACCTTTATGGCAGTGAATATTCGTGTGCGCATGCGCATTTAATATATAACGGATGGTATAAGCTAAGCTAAAATTATCTAATTCAGTTAATGTTGAAGATTGCATTGTTCCTTAATCTTCGAATTGGATCCGGCTTATTATTTTTTGCAGACTGTTAGAGCAATTTTATAAAAGTAAGCTTGAACTCTTGATTATGTCAAATAGAATTTCAGATATACATTTACTAATATGTAAAGAATCTACAAAGCAAAAGTATGTTTCGAAGTCCGTTAAACAAAAAGGGGAATTGCTGCAAAAAATGGGTAAAAGCATATCCTTCGTACCATTCCGAAATGTGTTTATCAATTTCACGCTGCTCTGCAGGGGGGGGAGATGCCGTGGGGCGCAACGAATTGGAAGTTGATCTGTCAGCACTATCCTTATCTTCAGGGCAGATGTTTTTATTTTATTTGGCTTATAATTCCTTACTAAATATAGTATTTCATCTTGATGTACTCCATCTTTTATATGATTTAAATCAAATTCCTCGTCATTATAATTCGCTTCCGATAGTGAAGAAAGTGACACAGAGGTTATTGGAAACGAAAAAATTTCGATTGAAAATTAGTCGGTATTCTCGACACAGCAATTACAGGACTTGAACAGAGTAACTTTGTAACTGAAGAAGAAATTATGCCTGTTTATAGAATTAAAGAGAAAGTATTATCACATAAAACAAAGCAACTTAAACAACTTACATTGAAAGAAATGTTTAATAAAGTAAACAAATAAATATTAAACTTTTTCTTTTTGTAAATTTTGATACCCTTTAGATCATAATGTTCTTTATTTCATAAACTACGGTTTCATATTTTTAATTTTATAATTTCTGCATGCCATCTTACCAGATTTAAACTGATGATCTATAATCCGGAATAGCCGAAGTCCCGACGAGTCCGGATTAACGACTTTTGACTATATTTCCATCATTTAAAACATTTTTGTGATTGAAAGTATATCCGTAAACTCCAACCTACAGCGAAAGTTGTCAGCAGCCTATGCATGAATGACATTTTTACAACTTTGAGCGTGTAAGACATATTTTAATTAACCACTTATTAATTTTTAATTAACCACTAAATGTAATTAATTTAATTACATTAAAATTCATATATATGAAAAATGGAATAATTAAAGATATTTCTTGTAAATTATAAGCATATTAATTAGAAATTTTCATTTTATTACTCAAGCAAAAATATCACTAAATCTACTAATATATCAATAAAACAAATATTTTAAATCACGAATCATAGAGCAAACTAGAAACCATAAACCATAGCTTTATGAGGTTTTTGAATTCTGATTTCTACAAGGAAATTTTTTTTAATTTTTAATTCTAGATAGAGACAAGAAATACATTATCAAAAAAAACTTAAAATTCATTTATAAATTATGAACGTAAAGTATCATGCTTTAG